CCAGTACCAAACGCTCATAGGAAATATAATCATTACTCTCTTCCACCAGGTTTATTTTTTCTGCCGAAGTGGCTAGTTAATTGTGCATCCCGTATCTATCCTGTGGATACAGTGCAAGAGAATATAGACTCACAAAAAAAAAATTGCCTAGGAGCTAGGCCAGCATACTTACCTGGGAAACTGGGCGCCTTTGTAAATCCAACTTGCCACTGAAGATGGTGGGTTTAGACCAAGCACTTACAAGCTACGAACATATATTTATCTAAAAACAACGGGAATGAATATTAGTATTAATACGTAAGAGAAATCAATGGGGCTTATTTTCTAAAATTTGTGTACATTAGGCTACTCTCGCGCGGATATATGATTCCATCTCCAAGACCACCAGAGACTAGTCAACATAGGCGAGACTTAATCCGGAAGTTCGGTGGCTTGGACGATGCTACGTCAGGATGAGTCTTCGGCGAGAGAGCCTCGCAAGAGTACCGAGTCAGAGTGTTCGAGAGAGAGAACCTGAGCTCATGCTTGCTCTGCATTATATTGGGGGAGGTACTGCCAGCATTATCATGTTGCAACTGTAAGTACCATGGCCATGTTGCAACAACTGCCAACACTATGATAATGTTACAAAAACTGGCAGTACTACGGTAACACTACAAAGGCTGCCAGTACAATGACCATGATGCAACCACCAACACCATAGCGAAATGTCAACAATTACACACCACTATGGTGAGTTTGCAAAAACTGCCACTATTACGGTCATTAGCAACTGCCATTTCTACGTCCAGGTTGCAACAACTGACAACACTATGGTCGTGTTTCAATATCTGCAACCTATATCAGTCATAATTAGGAATTTGTGCAGGAAACGTGTCCCAGTGTGACAATAGTGACGGTCAGGATGGCATCCAGTCCTGCAACGTCGATATACCAACGAGTTTAGCTGCAGCTTCGTGTCCTGCGCTGCCAAACCTGGAGCATACTTGGAGAGGGTTATGGGGGGTCAACGCCCCTGCAGCCCTGTCTGTGACAGGCCTCGCGGTGGATCAGGGCCTGATCAACCAGGCTGTTACTATTGACCTAGAGCATCCACTTATATTATTTCGTTAATTTAGGTTAATATATATTTTCGTAGAAAAAGGTATAAAAGGGCAGCCTAGGGAACCAGACAAGCCTGGAGAGCCTGTGACACCTATGAATCTAGTGGAGGTCACGGGTCATTACTACCAACTTAGCGAAGGTGAAGACCAGCCTATCACTCCAGCTTCCCTTCCTAGGTCGCCGGCGTGACTGTGGCAGCACCTGTTGCTCAAGCAGGTGAAGATATGGCCTACCTGGTTATCTTTAATCCAGAAGTGGGAAGCTGGTAAGCCACTCAAACATCATAGGGATCACCAGGTGCCTGACATCTGGTGAAGCGGTGGCCACAGCTGTACAGGGGTGGAAGACAAAGATTTCTACCTAACATGCTGCACGCGTATTTTTCTTTTCTTTACACTCTTCTAAGTAGCCTAATAGTTGGCACCAAAACCACTTAAACAGGAAAGGAAATAAATGGCTTAACATCAAGGACTCTCCTCCCAAGATTGATGGTTAGTAGGTCTGGCCAACTAAGTGTGGGGACAAAGTGAGTGATGTTCTCCAGAACATTATTACCTTCCTCCTTATTCGCAGATCTGACATCACATCGCCGTAGGGAAGCCGTCTTTCCTTACTCTCGTGCGGTAACACTCGCGAAGAAACGATAATCGGTAATGAGTGAGAAGGCTTTCGACTCTCCCAGCCCGATGGTGCAGCAGTGCACAGGTCTGGACAACGCTGGTTTTGGTTTCCCTATCACCGGATTACCTTCGGCAATCTCTGTTGGGAGAGTTATCCACAGTTATTCTTGAGCTGGTGTTTGTGAGCGACGATCGTACAGCATACCGTGAGGCATATTAACATAAAGGCTGGCATGTGCCCATTACAGAACTCACGCTCAGTCACGTTTAGCAAGGTTAGTAGTGGCATTGTCTGGTTCATTTCTTAACATTCTAATACCAGGTACAGTGTTAATTTCAATAATCTTATCACTGATACTAGGAACATGAAGTTCCTTCCTCATATTAAGAACCTTGGTAATTTTAGAACAGCCAAGAATAATTCCGAGGGCTTCATTTTGCATTAGCCTCAAGGGCCGGAGTTAGAATTTTAATTAGCGAAAATTAACATGGGCGCAGCATAATCAATTAAGGATCTAATATAGGCTAGATACATCATTCTCGCTATTCTTACATAGCCAGCAACAGCTCTGAGAGCATTGTACCTTTTTTTGCATTTCTTATTTAGTCGTGGTATGGAGGATTATTGGAAAGGTACGTACGTCTACGCCAAGAAACCTTTAAGATTTAACGTCGCTGATGTTTTCACCAGATGGGTGGGGCATGGCGTTTGTTTGTCAGTGTAAAGGCCTCACCCATCCGTCTGTAAGGTAAAAGCATAAAGTACGTTATATCAAAGGTTTAGAGTTTCTGGGGCAAGTAATGAGCGAGAACGAACCGAAAAGAACGCAGAAGTTGTACAACTTCGTCTCTGCTACTGGAAGCGCAGTAGCAGGAACCGAAGGTGATCTTCAGAAGTACGTTCACTATCAGCTTTCAGGTCTGCCTGATGGTTCAGTTCCCTTTAGTATTGCGGACCATTTCACCTCTGCAAACGGCGAGAGAACACAGAGCACAACAATGATTCTTTCCTTATTCCCTCCTGAGCAAAATTCACGGATGGGGAAAAACCCATGCTATGTATACCAAAAAAAAGGGAATTGCTGGGTTTATAACCAGAAAAAGCCACTCAAACCTCGATACCAGTGGTGACCCAGCGTCGGTAAGCTGAAGAGAAAGCAGGCGAGGTCAGTAACTCGTCATGCCTGGGGAGTAGTGTTAAATATTCTGATATCTGGGTAAGAGGAAAGGTCAGTGATTCTTCAAGCTCGAGGTGTTGTGCTGGAGGTGACCTTCGGAGAAGAGGCAGCAGAGGTCAGCGGCAGAGGTGTAGTGGTGGTGGCAGCAGTGACCTCCGGAGAGACGGCAGCAACACTAGGTTAGTGGCCAACCAGAGATTGGCAGGCGAGGTGTTGTTCCATCCCCTTTATCATGCTCACCACCTCTCTAACTCCTCCCTCCTTCCCTGCCCTCCTCCTCCTCGTCGCTTCCACTACTGCTGCTATTGTTGCTATTGCTCGAGCTGCTGCTGCTGTTGTTGCTGTTACAAGTGCTACTGTTATTGTTACTACTGTCTCTGCGACTTCGTTGAAAGTTACTGTCGATGCGGCTTAGTGGTGCGTTACAGGTACGTTACGATACTGTGGCTGGTTACTACGCTACTGCCGCTACTAAAGAGGAATACCTCACGGAAGCTTATAACAGTGATTAGTAAAGTGGGCTTGTGATGGGTGTTGAGGTTTCAACTTTACCGAACACCTTTTGGAAGTAGTAGAAGTCGTAGTAGTAGTAGTACAACTACTACTACTACTGCTAGTAGTAGTAGTAGTAGTACAACTACTACTAGCAGTACTACAATTTCCACACACTGATAATGACTGCTATTACAACTATTACCACTATTTCTGGCAGTTATCGTCTCCCCCGCGCCACGTTCCTGTTATAGCCGTAAGTTTACAAGGGCCGTAAACAAACGTGAAAAACAAAACAGTATTTATTATTGCTAAAAGGTGTAACTGGAGGCTGTTGCTGCTACCGCTGCCGGATGCTGCTGCAGGATGCTGCTGCAGAATGCTGCTACTGCTGCCGGAAGTTCGTTTGGAGCCTCAAGAGAGTACTAGTGGAAGCTTTCAGGATCGTATTTCTTCCTTGAATATATATACGAGATTCTCCACGGTACCGTGTCTGCACTCCTTCACGGTACCGTGCCAGCATTCCTTCACGGTACCGTGCCCGCACTCCTTCACGGTACCGTGCCCGCACTCCGCCATGGCACCCTCCCCGCAAGGGTTTATGACCGGCAGCTCCTAAGCCAGTAGTTATTTAGTTTGCAAAGAGTCGATTGGCTCACTGTGAGTATAGGCCACATTAGATTAGAGGCAGCACCACTGCAGTGGCCACACCACAACAGTGGCCACACCACAACAGTGGCCCCACCACAACAGTGGCCCCACCACAACAATGACCACACCACAACAGTGGCCCCACCACAACAATGACCACACCACAACAGTGGCCACACCACAATAGTGGCCCCACCACAACAGTGGCCCCACCACAACAATGACCACACCACAACATTGGCCACACCACAATATTGGCCCCACCACAACAGTGGCCCCACCACAACAATGACCACACCACAACAGTGGCCACACCACAATAGTGGCCCTCCACAACAGTGGCCCCGCCACAACAATGACCACACCACAACAGTGGCCCCACCACAACAATGACCACACCACAACAGTGGCCACACCACAATAGTGGCCCCACCACAACAGTGGCCCCACCACAACAATGACCACCGCAGCTGCGGCCACACCACAACTGAGGCCACACCACAACAATGTTATCAAAACAATGATTTGAAAAGTCTCTACATAAAGTAGAAAGCTGACACGATAAGTATTGTTCCCCACCTAAGTTTCGTCTCTATTAATGCAGAAAATATACGTCACCATCCACACAAGAAGATGCAGGGAGAGGAGCAGCATCCTCCGCAGCAGGTAACCAGCAACGAGATACGTGACCCCCAATTCTCGGTCGACAGAGAAACTGTCTCAGTGCATTCGCAATTAATACGGTTTTTTTTTCTTTGGGTAAAACTTGTGTTTGTTAGAACTGATTATTGGGGAAAATTCCCCCATTCAAAAAGAGCCTTTGAGCCCTTGAGACTACCTTAGACAAGGGCTTAACTTGACGGTACTGAAGAGGGGAAGACTTACCTGCGGTAGAGGAGGACTAGCCTCAGGAAGGAGCTCTCTCTTTGGCGTCAATGAAGGGATAACTCACTCGAAATAGGAATATCTTTCACAGCACTGAGGTAAATAAAATGCGACTCACCTGAGGTAGGGGTTCCCCGTTGGGTGCCTCTTGGGGCGGAGGCGGCTGGGGCGCAGAGTAGCGGTGGTGGGGTATGCGTGCGGCTGCGCCCGTGGGTACCTCCATAGAGCGCACCAAGGCCGCCACGTCCGTGCGCCCGTCGCACGCCTGACATATGCTACACAGGGAGTCGTATCTCCGGCTCTGCTCCAGCGCCTGTAAAAAGCCACATTTTTATTGGAACCACAAATTAAGTTTTCTAAGGCTCTTTTGGTACAAAATTATTAATTTTTGCATTAACATAAATGAAAAAAATATATTTTTAAACTTATTAGAGAAAATTTTAGAAAGGACTTAATTTTAAATAAGTTTCTGCTAACTGACCAGTTTTACCTATTCGGCACAACACACACACACACACACACACACACATCATATATATTTTTTTTTCAACAAACCGGCCGTATCCCACCAAGGCAGGGTGGCCCAAAAAGAAAAACGAAAGTTTCTCTTTTTAAATTTAGTAATTTATACGGGAGAAGGGGTTACTAGCCCCTTGCTCCCGGCATTTTAGTCGCCTCTTACAACACGCATGGCTTACGGAGGAAGAATTCTGTTCCACTTCCCCATGGAGAGAAATTCGCGAAGAGAATTAGGCGAAGAAGAGAGGTGATTGGGTGAGAAAAGGGGTGAGAGAGAAGATGAGGAGAAAGAAGCGGGTAAGGAGGAGAGTGAGGTGGGAGAAAAGAAAAGAGGGTGAGGGGAGAGAAAAGGATGGGGAGGACAGTCGGTAAGGAAAGGATAGAGGGCAGCTGAAGGAGAGAGAGACCGAACTTGCTGGGAAATGATGGCAGAAGTTTATATAACTCACAAAGCATCGGACCTGATTAATTATTCTCATCTTTTAACATTAAAGGACGACTAACATTATTAACAAGCTTCCATCATTATACATTTTCAGCTCTTCTAATTAGACACTAATTTGAAGAAAGAGGAGAATCTCCCCGCAATTTATACCCAAAAATGAGTAGGTGGCTGAGTTCTGAGCCAGGTACCCAGGCAGTTTAAACCCAGCTACCACAGCAAAGTAGCCCAGCTACCACAGCAAAGTAGCCCAGCTACCACAACAAAGTAGCCCAGCTACCACAATATAGTCCAGCTACCATAATAAAGTAGCCCAGCTACCACAATACAGTCCAGCTACCATAATAAAGTAGCCCAGCTACCACAACAAAGTAGCCCAGCTACCACAATATAGTCCAGCTACCATAATAAAGTAGCCCAGCTACCACAATAAAGTAGCCCAGCTACCACAATATAGTCCAGCTACCATAATAAAGTAGCCAAGCTACCACAACAAAGTAGCCCAGCTACCACAATATAGTCCAGCTACCATAATAAAGCAGCCCAGCTACCACAATAAAGTAGCCCAGCTACCACAATATAGTCCAGCTACCATAATAAAGTAGCCCAGCTACCACAATATAGTCCAGCTACCACAATAAAGTAGCCCAACTACCACAATATAGTCCAGCTACCATAATAAAGTAGCCCAGCTACCACAACAAAGTAGCCCAGCTACCACAATATAGTCCAGCTACCATAATAAAGTAGCCCAGCTACCACAATAAAGTAGCCCAGCTACCACAATATAGTCCAGCTACCATAATAAAGTAGCCCAGCTACCACAACAAAGTAGCCCAGCTACCACAATACAGTCCAGCTACCATAATAAAGTAGGCCAGCTACCACAATAAAGTAGCCCAGCTACCACAATATAGTCCAGCTACCATAATAAAGTAGCCCAGCTACCACAATAAAGTAGCCCAGCTACCACAATATAGTCCAGCTACCATAATAAAGTAGCCCAGCTACCACAACAAAGTAGCCCAGCTACCACAATATAGTCCAGCTACAATAATAAAGTAGGCCAGCTACCACAATAAAGTAGCCCAGCTACCACAATATAGTCCCAGCTACCATAATAAAGTAGGCCAGCTACCACAACAAAGTAGCCCAGCTACCACAATATAGTCCAGCTACCATAATAAAGTAGGCCAGCTACCACAATAAAGTAGCCCAGCTACCACAATATAGTCCAGCTACCATAATAAAGTAGCCCAGCTACCACAACTAAGTAGCCCAGCTACCACAATATAGTCCAGCTACCATAATAAAGTAGGCCAGCTACCACAATAAAGTAGCCCAGCTACCACAATATAGTCCAGCTACCATAATAAAGTAGGCCAGCTACCACAATAAAGTAGCCCAGCTACCACAATATAGTCCAGCTACCATAATAAAGTAGGCCAGCTACCACAACAAAGTAGCCCAGCTACCACAATATAGTCCAGCTACCATAATAAAGTAGCCCAACTACCACAATAAAGTAGCCCAACTACCACAAAGTAGCCCAGCTACCACAATAAAGTAGCCCAGCTACCACAATAAAGTAGCCCAACTACCACAATAAAGTAGCCCAACTACCACAAAGTAGCCCAGCTACCACAATAAAGTAGCCCAGCTACCACAATAAAGTAGCCCTGCTACCACAATAAAGTAGCCCAGCTACCACAATAAAGTAGCCCTGCTACCACAATAAAGTAGCCCTGCTACCACAATAAAGTAGCCCAGCTACCACAATAAAGTAGCCCAGCTACCACAATAAAGTAGCCCAGCTACCATAATAAAGTAGCCCAACTACCACAATAAAGTAGCCCAACTACCACAATAAAGTAGCCCAACTACCACAATATAGTCCAGCTACCATAATAAAGTAGCCCTGCTACCACAATAAAGTAGCCCAACTACCACAATAAAGTAGCCCAACTACCACAATAAAGTAGCCCAACTACCACAATAAAGTAGCTCAGCTACCACAATAAAGTAGCCCAACTATCACAATAAAGTAGCCCAACTACCACAATAAAGTAGCCCAACTACCACAATAAAGTAGCCCAACTACCACAATAAAGTAGCTCAGCTACCACAATAAAGTAGCCCAACTATCACAATAAAGTAGCCCAACTATCACAATAAAGTAGCCCAGCTACCGCAAGTGCACTAATAAGTGATCAACTATCAACTGCTCGTTATGACATAAGGTTGTTAAAGGAAGCCACGGGTCGCTAAAGTAGCAAGAAGAATAGTTACGATGCCTCACTTGCTTGGAGCAACTCCTTTAGTCAAGCAACCAAGGGAGTGAATCTGGAATGGGTGATAGGCCTGTTTTTTTTTTTTGGGGGGGGGGCAATTTTATTATCCATAAGTGTGTCCCTGATGTTACTACATCTTAATGACAAGAATGAGAATTTAGCAGAGCTTCCAGAAATCCAAGATGGCCTCCACGAAACTAGGTTCATAGCCTATTAGATCACAGCTTCCGTTTCTAATGCAAAGTTTATGTTCAAATCTCTAAATCGACGCTTTTCCCATCCGAGGATTTTTTTTTTTGTCATTAACATAAATTCATTAGGAAAAAATGGAATAGTAAAAAATGAACTGAAGATGTGACTGCTGGAGCATTTTCCCTTTTGCGGATTTTAGAATCTCGTATTGATAAATTTAATTTTTAAGGATTGACAGATAAATGGTCGTATTTCACCTAGGCTGGGTGGCCCAAAAAGAAAAATTAAAGTTTCTCTTTTTAAATTTAGTAATATATACAGGAGATGGGGTTACTAGTCCCTTGCATTTTAGTCTCTTACGACACGCATGGCTTTCGAAGGAAGAATTCTGTTCCACTTCCCCACCGAGATATATATATATATATATATATATATATATATATATATATATATATATATATATAGAGAGAGAGAGAGAGAGAGAGAGAGAGAGAGAGAGAGAGAGCGCAAGGTAAATTGTGTTACAAATGATAAGGTTGATAATCAACGACATAATGTTAGACAGGATTAAGTTACCCAAGTGTTCACAGAAGAGTATCATCAACTGCTTCAGATATTACGACTTCTCTGAGTAACACAGGACTCATAGTAGCTGCGTCGACTCCGTCTGTGCTCTGGTACTTTATATCAGAGCACACACACACACACACACACACACACACACACACACACACACACACACACACACACACACACACACACACACACACACACACACACAATCAATGTATCAAGGTTTCTTAATGCACAGTCTGAAGCAACTTTCATTACCAATGAGAAACTTTGCCTATATATCAAATTTTACTCCAGATAACCCAGCAGTTAAGAGTCCCTACCATGGCAGTTGGTCTGCTAACTGCCCTTTTATCGCGCCGTAAATTTTATGGCAATTTATCGTGCCGTTTTATACTGGGAATGAGTGCGACTGACATGTCAGCTCGGTAAAGACGTATATTACGTGCGGTCAGCAACTGCTGAAGTGGTATGGCCGGGTCACCGTCTGGAAAAAAAACCTATGGGGGGGGGGAATGTACCGGCGAATCTACAACAATAACAATGCTCAGGTGGTTGCTGTTCCGTGCCCCCCCCCCATCCCAAGGGCCAAGAGATACTACAATGGAAATAAGTCACTTCGTCTGACTATTTCTTAGGGTTATTCGAGGTAATTTACACGTAGGTTACTATGCAATAAGATCACTGTAAACAAGTGATATCGCAATATGCAAAACAGCCACTGCGCAAAAAATAGTGAAATTTCAAGCGCATGCATGATTTTTCACGTTATCAAGGACACGGAATGTTACTGTGTATGATAACTGAAATCACCTGAATTTGCGTCACTGTACTTACGTGTAACTATAGCTAAATAGACTTATTTACTTGCATACTTCATTACATCGGTTTGTATTAGTAGACTACCACCATTTACTGCGCAACACACCAGTGGTTGTTTCTTGCAGCACCCCAACCCGGGTATAACTGTACCACTGTTCTCTGATTTATTCCATGAACCCAGTTCAGATTTTTCTCTTATTGGTAACACCCAAGATGGCAAATTTTAAGTGTTTTGGAAACGGTCCAAATCTATGATATTTTCATGGCCTAGTCCTAATCTACTGAATTAACCCAGCACAACAAAGCAAGGTCATGCAACAAATTTAACCTAATCACAACATATCACATTATATTTTAACATTTAAATGCAAAAATAATATCAGTGTTAATATCTCAATGTTCCTGAAATGTTCATGTATACACTACGCCTGAGGTATATATATATATATATATATATATATATATATATATATA